CTACATGGTTTGGGTCCATCTTATCTCAGGGACCGCCTCTCCCGTATGAACCCCCCACACCCTTCGGTCCTCTGGGAGGAACCTGCTCCAACCCATGAAGACTAGGTTGGCACAGACCTCCCAGAGGGCTTTTTCTGCGACCACTCCCAGGCTATGGAATGGTCTGCAGGACGAGATCCGTCATATCTCCACTCTTGCTGCCTTTAAAAAGGCAGTAAAGACAGATCTCTTCTGGCAGGCCTTCCCATAATAACATCCCCGGCAATGGTGGAGTTTTATTATGCACCTCTCACCCTGTCCTATTATATACAGATCTGCCAAGGAGCTGTATTGTATTGTGTTTTAATGTTTGGTTTTAATTTCTTCTTAATTTAATTCTTTTTTAAGGGGTGGGAGGGTTAGTGCATGGGATTTGGGTATATTTTATCTGTTCCTTGTTTTAATATGTTGTTCACCACTGTGCACTGTGTTAGCATTACTGTGCAGAGGGGTGGCTTATAAATAAAAATTTATTATTTATTATTATTATTACTACAACAAGTGTTGCTCTTTAAAAATAGTTGATTGGTTTCTGTGATTCTAGATGTTATATAACTATTGGTTTAAATATAAATATATTTATCTCTGGTTATGTTAATGTATGATAGAAATAACTATGGTTTGCATTATTTAAAAACAAGAGCAAAAACAAGAGCTTCATCTGCCAAATGGGATTGGACCATTTCTTCCCTTTACTTCAGTGGTCCCCAAAGTGGGCAGTAGCACCCCCAGAGGGTGTTGGAAAACTCCAGGGGGGTGCTGAGAGGGAAAAGGGGGCAGCAGGGAATTGTGGGGATGTCTGGGGGCCGCCAGTGGGCACACTACACTCTGAGCAGGCCAGCTACAGTCAAGGTGGGTGGTGGGGGCTCTTATGACCACTTCTCCCCACCTACCTGCCTTCCTGTCTACCTGACCCCATCATTCCTGCTGTTGTCTGGCAGGAAAGGAAGTCTCCAGGTTGCTTCTGACAAATGCTGTGCTCCTTCCCTCACTGGCCATGGGGCCACTCCACTGCGTGCCTCCTTCCCTCCTTGCCAGAAGTGTGGCTGCTTCTTCTTTTTTCCAGTCTGCCCCCCCATACAGGCCCCCTCTCCCTTGTTACAGCACATGGAGCTCCTTCCCTCAGCAGTAAGTGCTTGGAAAGGACCATGCTGCCAAAATAAACAAACAAACAAATTAAAAAATGAATCTAAGAAGTTATCACCATGCTTACCATCCTTAAAACATCACTAGATTGTTCCTAAAGCGTAAGGGTATGATCACCGGTCGTGCTTGTCTCCTGTGATGAAATCGTCATGGAGGCGTCCCCTCACCTCTCCTGTCATTAAAGCATTCATGGAACCACCATTTCTGTGCATAATGGGAACTTCCATTATTGACATATGGTGGCTCCATGAATGCTTTCATTACAAGAGAGGTGAAGGGATGCCTCCATGATGATTTCATCACAGGAGACAAGCATGACCGGTAATCACACCCTCATGCTTTAGGGATGATCTAGCAACATTCTAAGGATGGTAATCCTCTGTGTGATGATCTCCTAAACTCTGGTGCTTACTTGTAAGTAATCTTCACTTCCCAGTATGCCACTCACTCTTAAACTAAACTGCCTCTGTTTTTCACCCCCACTGCTGCAGATTCAGGGTGTATTTTGCAAAACAAATAAATCAGAATTCATTTTTTAAAAGTTCAGTGAGACTTACTGCCTCCCTCAATACTGATAACTGCCAATTTTGCAACTGGGTTCATGCTTTCCACCAGGAGCAAATCAGTGTGCCCCCCCCCATTAGGAAACTTACTTCTTTGAGAGACACTATAGTTTCCAGAATCCTCAATTCAGCAAAAAGTAACTTGGGCAAGAAAGACAGAGAACCTGTTATTCTGTTGCCTCAGTGACTGCTATATCTGTAATCCAAACTTTGTGAGGAAGGGGAGGAAAAAGGGCAGGGCAGGAGGGGAAAGAAGGAGGATGCGGAAGAAAGTTGTCTGTCTTATGCTTCCCTCGACCTGAATTTTGGAGCCAAGTGATAAGCCCCACATTTCTCCTCCACAGACAGCCCAAGTTAAAATTTGAGACACCTTGTGTCTCTTTCAATGACTGTATGGAAGAGAGGATTTCAGCAGATGTTGCTGGTTGTCTGTTTGTGTGACAAATAATAATAATAATAATAATAATAATAATAATAATAATACCTACTGAACCTCCTTCTGTTGCACTGGCACAAAGGACTCAACACACCTTTTCTTTGAGTAATAACTGGCCACAACTTTATTTCTGTACAAGGTCTCAAACATTTTTAATAAACAATCATTACAGCATAGCAGAATTTCTTCTTGACACATATGTCCATGTAGATAACTAAACTGTTATCAAAGTAAACTGCATCTATCACAACACGTGTCAAGAAGATCTGTTTAAATAAAATGCAGAACAATAAATTATCTCTCTCCCCCCTCCAACTGGAAATGATGTCATAATTGATCTTATGACATAAGTAAGTCATGACATCATCAAGTTATTTGATGACGTCATATAAAATTTAATTAACCTAATGACATAAACCAACTGAGTGACCTTGGTCAAGTCACACTCTCTCAGCCTCAGATGACAAAAATGGTAAACCTCCTCTGAAGGAATTTGCCAAGAAAATCACATGATAGGTTCACCTTAGGATTGCCCTAAGTTGGAAACAACTTGAAGGCAAACAACAACAACAACAACAACAATGGTATGATATGGGAGAGGGTCACTGTGTGTGAAGGTGGGGTGGGGTGGTAGTGGTAGTGGTGACACCATGAGTCACTGCACCAGGTCACACCAAACCTAATGATGTCACTGGTGTATGTATGTTCAAACAAAGAGGGGGACATATGGGCTCTGGAAGACAAACAGTGAAGTCCAGGAAACAAAATTTGCAAATAAATCCATTAGCAATACAACGAGAAACCTTATTTCTTTTCATACCCTGTGTGAAAATACCTCCTTCCTCCTTTGGCAGATAATATTGAATTTCTCAAGAAGTCTCTGTGTTGCTGCATCTCAAAAAAAAAACCAAAAAAACCCCCCAAAAAACAAAACTTTAAATGCTGCTTAAAACACATCAAATGTAGTCCCATTTAAAAAACAAAAACAAACATTTGACTTTTGTTGGAGGTTGAGACCTCAAAAAGTTAAGTCTCAGCCCTTTGTTCCCTCTTGTTTACAGTATCCTGAAAACTAGAAAGCATATCCAGGAGTAGCTGTGTTGGCCACACTGCAAATAATAACATCCAAAATCCACAAAATAGTGATACCTTTCTCGTGTTTGATTTTTAACACCTTTGCCCAATAAAGAAACCAGTTGAGTTTCAAAAGCTTATTTCATCTCTTTTGTGCAGTTTGGTTGGCCAATAAAGGTATCACTGTTTTGTGGATTTTGGATGCTATTCTGTTTTGCTGTATGGGGAAGCCAGCATGGCAACCACTGGATAGCTATTTGGGAGCTTTTCTCCCTCCCCCAATAGAAGGGGGGAACCCACTTTTGCTAAGTTCTCTTCCAAGTGGCTACAATTCAGAGAAATAGGTTTAATTTGCATTACAAAAATAATGCAGGTCAACACTGCTTTAGCTCCTATAGTTCAGTTCTATGGAAATCTGGGAGTTGAAGTTTTGTGAGCGATGTAGCCTCTCTCAGGGAGCTTTGGTGTGACAACAAACTACAAACCCCAGAATTCCA